TGTTTTTTTGCGATTAAAGGAGGCATGTCAATTTTTCACATTTTGCGTGTATGTCTATGGGACATGACTATTCTCAAAACTGGATTCTACATTTCCTGTCTTTCGCGAGCAATATCTCCGTTGTTTTAGCTTTGTTTATGCTGAGCTTCGGATGTTGTAGCTGAGACAAAAGCTATCTCCAGTGTGCCACTTTATTTTTCGATCTATGCCGGGATCATGCTCATATTTCACTTGCAAAGTAGGACTTCATAATTCCATTTCCCGTTTACGTGTTATCGCTATGGGAGATGTTTTGGTATATCAGTAACGCACTTGACTTCCAACCTCGAGATCCCTGGTTCGAGTCCGGTGTCTCCAACAATTTTTTTCTTCACTTTTTTTTTCCTTTTGACCTTTCACTGTACCATCTCCTTTGATTATTTAAACACGTAGAATCGCAAATAATGTCATAAACAACCCTTTTTACTTTATTATTACCCTATTTTCACTTAATCCATTACTTTTTGCGTGTAATCCCTATGGGAGATGACTTTTTCTCAAATCTGGATTCTACATTCCTGTCTTTTGCGAGCAATATCGCCGTTATTTCTGCTTGGATTTTGTTGATTTTTGAGTATGTTGTAGCTGAGACTATATGCTATCTAAATCAATCCTTATTTTTTTCAATAAGATGTCAGTGATCCGCTCTCGATCATGATCATGATCATAATCATCATGATATCATTATCATAATGATGATAATCATTTATCAATTACATTTTCATTTCTTTGAATGAGATAAAATCGTCAAAAGGTGTTCTTCATGATGTAAATTAGAGTCAAATGTTGTAACTGGTTACTGCACAGGATCAAAGGTCATATCTTGTTTCAATCTATCTTCCCTAGATCCATGATATCAAGGAGACACAATTTAATCTTGACATATGATAGATCATAATGGGAGAAGCATATAAATGGGAGAAGCATTTTATAAAATAATATATCGTGTAATGCATTTTCGTTATGTAAACCATTATCATACGTATCACCAATTCGCTAAGTGACGAATTAAAGTCTAGTTAGGTGATACGTAACGAAGTCAACGTATCACCTTTTGATTTCGTCAAGATTTTTTATTATTTATTTATTATTATTCTTCCTCGAATTTGTTCGCAGGATATCTCAAGACTGAATAAAGCCATTGTTATGAATCTTTCAATGATGATAGATCTTAGTCTAACTTAGAACTGCGTGACTTTTCAAAGACTCAAAATCATCGTGACGTCATCCAGGCGCCATTTTGTGAAAATCAACTTATGATCATATCTTCATAACGGAAAGTAATTTTTCATTCATATTTATCATGATTAAGATCAATATCCGTCGGGTCAATTTGAGGTCAATAAATGCGCGCAAAAATGCGCGTACGCGTAGGCGCGCGCGTTAATGCGCGCGTAAAATTTTAAATTGCTCAAAATCGTCTTAAATTTTTTTTGCATACGTTTCAGGCCATTATAAGCATTTCATAAAAAATCACGCAAAACACGCATTTTTGCACGTTTTCGTTCGTCACGGCCGAACGAAAAATAATTTCTCCGCAAAAGCTTTTGACCGAATATTCCTCATATTTTTCCGGAAAATTTGATACCATGTTTAGCTCTTTATCACTATTAAAAACGGAATGAGCGTCCGTTCAAGATAACCGTCCGTACGCGCGATTTTTGTAATACATTGCATATATGGGCAAAAACATGCCTATGAAAAGTCCATTGGGATGAATAGGGATTGCCAATTTTTTTTTCATATTTAGATAGAGTATGAGTCGGAGGTATGATTTCATATCTCATTTGGCCATTAAGTACATCTTTACGTCATCATAATGGCCTTGGAAGTCAAAAATACAAAATTGCATATTATGACGTCATTGTATTTATGGAAAATGTAGTGTATTTCTCTCAATATTCATCGATTCTCTTTGAAATGTCGATATGTTGTAGATAAGGCAATTCTCTACAAGATCACTTTTCACTAAGTTTCATTTTAATGAGGTCATCATAGTACAAAATTCAGTTAAAGGCCACATGTCAGAATTTTCGTCATTTGCGTGTTATGTCTATGGAAGGTGAATTTCGTTCACATCATGAATCTACATGGCATTCATCTATGAGCACTATCTATCTTATGTGTGCTCTGTTTTCTCCCAAATTGGGGTATGTTATAGCTGAGACCATGGGCTATAAAAAAGGGTGACTTTGTTTTTTAATCAGATGTTGGGATCATGTTAAAATTTTCGATCGAAAGTTGAAATTGCAAATTTTGAAGGAATCATTAGGTGATACGTAACGAAGTCAACGTATCACCTTTTGATTTCGTCAAGATTTTTTATTATTTATTTATTATTATTCTTCCTCGAATTTGTTCGCAGGATATCTCAAGACTGAATAAAGCCATTGTTATGAATCTTTCAATGATGATAGATCTTAGTCTAACTTAGAACTGCGTGACTTTTCAAAGACTCAAAGTCATCGTGACGTCATCCAGGCGCCATTTTGTGAAAATCAACTTATGATCATATCTTCATAACGGAAAGTAATTTTTCATTCATATTTATCATGATTAAGATCAATATCCGTCGGGTCAATTTGAGGTCAATAAATGCGCGCAAAAATGCGCGTACGCGTAGGCGCGCGCGTTAATGCGCGCGTAAAATTTTAAATTGCTCAAAATCGTCTTAAATTTTTTTTGCATACGTTTCAGGCCATTATAAGCATTTCATAAAAAATCACGCAAAACACGCATTTTTGCACGTTTTCGTTCGTCACGGCCGAACGAAAAATAATTTCTCCGCAAAAGCTTTTGACCGAATATTCCTCATATTTTTCCGGAAAATTTGATACCATGTTTAGCTCTTTATCACTATTAAAAACGGAATGAGCGTCCGTTCAAGATAACCGTCCGTACGCGCGATTTTTGTAATACATTGCATATATGGGCAAAAACATGCCTATAAAAAGTCCATTGGGATGAATAGGGATTGCCAATTTTTTTTTCATATTTAGATAGAGTATGAGTCGGAGGTATGATTTCATATCTCATTTGGCCATTAAGTACATCTTTACGTCATCATAATGGCCTTGGAAGTCAAAAATACAAAATTGCATATTATGACGTCATTGTATTTATGGAAAATGTAGTGTATTTCTCTCAATATTCATCGATTCTCTTTGAAATGTCGATATGTTGTAGATAAGGCAATTCTCTACAAGATCACTTTTCACTAAGTTTCATTTTAATGAGGTCATCATAGTACAAAATTCAGTTAAAGGCCACATGTCAGAATTTTCGTCATTTGCGTGTTATGTCTATGGAAGGTGAATTTCGTTCACATCATGAATCTACATGGCATTCATCTATGAGCACTATCTATCTTATGTGTGCTCTGTTTTTCTCCCAAATTGGGGT